GGGCGGCAAGCGGCAGCCGCCCTGCTCGCCTGGCAGCCTGGCAGCGGCAGCTGCGCGGTCCGACGGACCGCGCAGATGCACACCAGGCTGCGGTGCCCGGGGAGGAGGAGGAGGCAGCTGACAGCAGCAGCGGGGCTGGCTCTGGTGCTGCGCCAGGCCCCGAGGCCAAGGGCGGCGGCGAGCTGGTGGACGTTTTGCAGCAGCTGGTGGCCTCAGGGCACACGCTGCGCCAGCTGAAGGAGGAGCGCTTTGCCGACATCCCCTACGGCCACCTGCGCCTGGCGCTCGCCCACCTGGGGCGCTGCAACCCGGCGGCCCCCTGCCAGTGAAGAGACCGGCATGGCAAACACGCCCAAGAGTTGTACAGAACACCCTCCCACCTCAGCATCGGCCACAGTTCAGTTACAACCAACAAACGAGAGGGGCAGTGGTGTGCCAGTACATGGGTAAAGAGGCGAAACATCCATGAGAAATACATGGCAAAATGGAACTTGAATGAAATCATCAAATCATCGAATAGATTCAGGAGAGCGCATAGCTTCCTGGCAGGGCTGTCGGTGCACGAGCGCTGCTTGGCGCTCATGGGGAGCCCAGTGGGCGCCCATACGTTGTCGTGAGGAAGTGATCATGTCATACAGTGATGAAGGGTGGTGAGCAGGCGCGCCGACGACATGCGGCAGAGGAGCGGCGGCGCGGGCCTCAGGCCACCTTCTTGGCGGGCGAGTTGGCCAGGGGCAGGTAGCGGGGCTTGGTGAAGCGCAGCAGCAGGTAGCCCAGCACGTTGAAGCCGAACTGCAGGGCGGACGGGGCGGGAGCGGGCCGGCGGATGGAGGCCACGGAGGCAGCAGCACTGCAGCGACAGCGACAACGACACCACCACTACCACCAGCAGCACCAGCAGCAGCAGCAGGCAGGGCCCCACCACGAGGAGCAGCAGGCCCATGAAGGCCTGCCACAGGTGGTTGCCGTCAAAGTCCAGCTGCGTCAGGATCTGGTCGCCGGTGATGGGGATGCCGTTGGTCTCCCACCCGGTGCGCCCCGCAAAGTCGTTGATGGCAAAGCCCATGAAGGCCCAGTACAGGTGCGAAATGTAGCGGACTGCAGGCGGGGCGCAGCGCGGGGGAAAGGGAAAGCCCGGCTCAGGAGGATGCAGCGGCACAAGGGCGGGCCATGGTATGTGCCTCCATGCGGGCCCAGCGTGCACGGCGCCCCACTCACTCCAGCTCAGCACGGGCGGGATGGTCTGCGTGTTGACGTAGAAGCCGCCAAACAGCATCAGTATGACGGTGATCATGGGCGCAAGCGCGATGGCCACCTTCTCGTTCTTCGCCGCCGCGCTGATGGCAACGCCCAGGCCCTGTGCCGCCAGGCCTGCACGCGCGGGGGTCGGCACTGAGTGGCGGCCGCCGACAGCTGGGAGCGCACGGCCTCGGTGCTGTGTGCTGACCGCCAGCCCCAGCCGTGAGCAGGTGAGCAGCAGCAGCAGCAGAGGCCAGATGGTGCAACAAGCAACTGCGCCGCGCGCTGGCCGCCCCGCTCACCCTCGCAGATGGTCAGGGCGCAGAAGATGAAGAAGGCCTTGGCGCTGGGGTTCAGCCCCACAATCCAGTACAGTATCGAGCCTGCGTTGAGGAGGGTGCAGCGCCAGGCCAGCAGGTGGGACGCAGCGCTAAAAACAAAAGAAGCTCCCCCCTCCCGTGCACGCGCCCCTGGTCGGCAGGCCCCGCATGCCGGCCGGCTCCAGGCAGCGCAGCCGGGCGGCAGCGGGCCACGCACGCACCAAACAGCAGACCCTGGCCCACGCGCAGCGGCATGTCGCATATGAAGCGCGCCAGGTAGTAGGGGAGGACGTGGTACGACTTGGAGGAGCGCTCCCGCTGGATGATGCCCGCCTCGCTGGAGAAGGTGGTGAGGGCGCCAAACATGGCGCCCATGGCTGCACACGGCGGCGCGGTGGCAGGGAAGGGGGAGCAGGAGGGCGAGTCGACCCAGGGGAGGGGCTCGGTGCACAGCAGCGAAGGCATGGGCGCGCGCGCTCGACCGCAGCAGCCCTGCGAGCCCTTCCTAGCGAGCACACAGCCAGCTGGTGCCGCCCTCCCTGCTACACTCGCCCCTCCCCATCCCTCCACTCCCTTTCCCCCTTGCCCCTGCGCCTGCCTGTGAAGATGGTGACGAAGAACAGGATGCCCGTCTCGTCCGCGATGGCCCCGGGAGACGTCTGGCTCATGTTTGAGTAGAGCCAGGCCAGCAGGAAGCCGATCAGCACGGTCTGGGCCAGCGTCACAATCTGAGGGGCGGGGGCAGCAAGGGGGCGCCAGCCTTAGCGCGAGGCAAAGTTAGCCATTTGGCTGAAAGCCTGTGGTGCTGCGTCGGAAGGGCTGCCAGGCAGGCGGGGACGTGCAGGCCAGACCACCCAGCGCGCCGCCCACCAGCACGGGTTTGTTGCGGCTGGCATTCCTCCACGCGCGCCCCAGCAGCAGCTGGAACTCTGTCAACACGTTGTTGGCGAACTGCTCGTCCTTGTTGGCCTGCAGCATGTCGCGCTTGCTGCTCTCGCCCACCTCCACGTGCGCCTGCGTGATGTCCAAGCAGGCAGGGGGCAGGGCAGGGAGGCGGGTCAGCCAGCGGGAGGGCGGGCCGATGCGACCTCAGCTGGAAGCAAGATCAGGTCAGGCTGCAAGTGGCACCGGCAACCGCCGACCATTTGGTGCATGCAGGCCGCCACCCCCGGCGCCCAGCCACCACCCGGCCGCGCCCCGGCGGCCATCGCACCGCGGTGGCCGCCCCCTGCCGCTGGTACAGGTCTCCCAGGAGCTGGATGCGGCGCCGCGTCAGCGCCTCGCTGTCGGGCGTGCGGTAGTCCATGCTGGTGACATCCATGAAGAAGTCGGCGGGGTTGAACTGCGGGGGCGGGTGTGGTGTGTGTGTGCAGTGTGCGTGTGCGTGCTGGGTGCGTGGCACGCGGGAGGGGAGCAGGCCGTCCAGCAGGCACACGCCCAGCGGCAGGCACGCGGTGCCTCCTGGGCTTCCGGGTGCAACCACCACGCACCCAGCCAGGCCCCACTCCCCGGGGCGGCCCAGGCCCACCCCTCCCCGCCACCCCCCCCCCCACCTGTGCCGGGCACTTGAACCCCGCCTGTGCCAGGTAGTCGACCGCTTCGGCGGCGGGCCCAAAGAACATCACCCGCCCCTCCGACAGCAGCAGCAGCTGGTCAAACATCCTGCGGGCAGGAGGGCGGCAGCTCGCGCATGGGCCAGTGAGCGGCAGAGCGCACACGGCAAGGCACACGTGCGCAGCCTCCTGAGCGCCCAGGGCCTGATCCCCCTTGCCAGGCTCCTCGCCTGTAGATGGATGAGCGGGGCTGGTGGATGGTGCACGCCACCTGCGCCCAGGCACAACACACACAATAGCCAAGCTGGATCAGCAGGCAGAGGTCCCCCCCATACACACGACTGCTCCTGCGGCGGCAGCCACCGCCACAGTCGTCGCTGCGGTGCCAGTGCGGTACAATGCGGTACAGTAACTCACCGTGCGGCCGTTGCCTGCCAGCGTCCACAGCGCCTCCATCACATTCTGCGCCTGGAAGGCATCCAGCCCTGCAGGCAGGCGGCCGGGCAGCGCACGCATCAGCGGGGGCCACACAACGGCGCCCTAGGCCAGCCCAAGGCCCGCCCGCTCAGCACCCGAGGCGAGGTTTGCAAGAGTTCACCACTGGTTGGTTCATCCAGGAAGATGAGGGACGGGTTGGACAGCAGCTCCACGCCAATGTTGCACCGCTTGCGCTCTGCAGAGCGGGTGCGGCGGGGCGGGGCGGGGCCGGCCAGGGTCAGCCAGAAAAGCCCGGCGTGCCCTCTCGCGTGGCGCTGCTGCCACCGGCAGGCATGCAGGCAGGCACGGCAGCGGCGGCCGCCTCCACCCCTGCGCGCTCACCCCCGCCCGACACGCCCCGCATGAACGCGCTTCCAATGTACGTGCCCGCCGCCTTGCCCAGCGCCAGCTCGCTGATGATGTCGTCCACCAGCTGCGGCACACCGGCAGAGGGGGGGCGGCGGTGGTGCGTGGGTGGGCACAGGCGGTGGGAGGACGGGGTGCAGCAGTGGGCAGAGCAGGAGGGCTGGCGCCCTGTCCGTCCCATGCATGGGGTCAATGCGGCATGTGGTGCACACACGTGCCGCACACGTACGCACACAGGCGCGGCCCGCCCTGACGGCGCCCCGCCCCCGGGCCCCGCACCTGCGTGCGCGTCTGCTTGGTGATGGCGGCGGGCAGGCGGATGTTGGCCGCAAACTCAAACGTCTCCCGCACAGTCAGCGTGGGGAACAGCACGTCGTCTTGAAGAACGTAGGCCGCGATGCTGCGGAAGCCGCGCAGGCGGGGCTGGCTGTTGACCAGCACCTGCGCGCAGGGCAGGCGGCGGCGGCGGAGGGAGGGAGGCAAGGGCTCAGCCTCGTGGCCTGGCCCGGCAATTGGTGCGCTGGGCTGCACGGCCAGCTGGCGCCGACGACGCTCCGAGCGCGCCTTCCCATGGGCATGGCAAGCCGCAGCGCGGCACGGCGCAGCGCCCGCCGCACCTCCCCCTCCAGCTTGCCGCCGCGCGGCAGCCGCCCCGCCAGCGCGTTCAGCAGGCTGGTCTTGCCGCTGCCGGTGAGCCCCATGACAGCCAGCAGGCGGCCGGGCGCCAGATGGCCGCTGACGCCGTCCAGCACCGTCTTGGTGGCCCGCTTCTTGCGCCGCCCCACAAGCACCGTGTAGGTCAGGCTCTCCCACTGCAGCGTCACGTGGATGACCTGCGGCGGCGGCGGCGGCAGGAGAGAGCAAGGGCAGGTGAGAGGAGGCGCGGAGCGGGCGGGTTGTGCGCCCGAGGCGGCGCCACCCCGGGCTGGCGCATGCCTCTCCGCTGGGGCCACACCGGCAGCGGCCGTCCTGCCCGCTCTCGCAAGCCCCAGGCTGCGGGCGCACCCACCCGCTTGAGGCGCACAAACGACATGCCGCCTGCATCCATGGCTTGCAGCCTGGAGACCGAGTCGAGCATGGAGTTGGCGCGGCGGGTGGCCTTGCCGTCCCTGCGGGGATCAGGGGCGGGTGGGGTGGGCGACAGCGCCGTGGCTGGGGGCGAGAGCGCCGTGCCTGGCTGCCCGGACGGGAGCAAGGCACGCGGCGGCGGCGGGCTGGGGAAGCTCACTCTGTGCCCGCCCGCCAGGCGTTTGACTGCGCAAACACCTCGGCATCCTGAGCCAGCTCCTGCACAGCGTGGCAGCGGACAGGGATGCGGGGGCGGGTCGAAGGAGGCGCCTTGGGGTACCGCTGTCATCCCCGCAACTTCTCAGCCACCGCTGGGCTCACAGCTGGTGCCGCAGGTGCGGGAACAACGCACACAGCGGCGGCGGCGCCGCCGCAGCAAACTGCAACAATAGCTAGTCCCGGGCGCTGCTGGTGGAGCCATACAATCGGCTGCTGCAGACCTGCAGCAGCTCCTCCTTGTCAGGCTTCACGCTGCCCTTCTCTGTTGCCGCAGCGCCCGCCTCAATGTCTTGCTGCGTGCCTTTGGCCGGCCCATTGGCCACCCCGCCATCCTCCGCGTCCATGGCTAGCCGCAGCAGCAGTGCTCTGTGGTGTGGGTGGGCCGGGCGCGGTGCTAGGCGCCTCTTCCAGGGTGACTGTCCAGCTGCAGCGCCGCAAATGAGCTGGGAATGGCGCAGGTAACACGGTTGAATCGGCGAAAGTTTGCTCAATCCCTCTCGGACGTCTTGCCACGGGGTTACCTCATGGGGCGCATGCGCATGGCGGCGGCAACATGTTGCAACAAGCAGCAGCATTTCTCGCCCTGAGAGCCTCCCCCAGAGCTCAGAAACAGAGGCATAGGCGTCACAAGCAGCCAGTGTTCATGTGGAGCGAGGTCAAAAGGACGGGCGAAAAAACTGGCCCGCCGCGGCGCCAGCGCCGCCACCTGGGTGCTCCACGCTGTCGCTCACAGCCGAGGCCTGGCCGCCGCCGTCGGCAGCTGCGGCGCAATCTGCACGTACACCTTGCCCACCGAACGCCCCGTCTGCAACCATTCCACCGCATCGGGCACCGCCTCCAGCCCGATGAAGCGCTTGGGGTCCATCTGCGGCACGGTGGCACACACAGGCAGCACCGCGGCGTGGAGCTCCAGATGCGGGCGCCATGCCATCCGATCCTGAGGCAATGGTGCTGGCAGGCCCCACCTGCACGCGCAGCTGCCCCCCCTGGAACAGCCCCGCCAGCTTCTTGAGGTGGCGGCGCCAGTGGGAGGCGTAGTGCAGCAGGAAGAAGCCCTGCAGGGTGGCGCTCTTCCACAGCAGCTTCTCGGCCAGGCCCGGGTACGGGCGCTTGGCCCAGCCGTCGGCGTACTGGCTCATGTGCCCGATGGTCAGCAGGCGGCCCCGCGGCGCCAGGGCATCCACGCACGCGTCAAACATCTCGCCGCCAACTGCAGCACGGCGGGCAGGCCTGTGGGCGCCAGGCCACGGCGCCGTGCTGCAGACGCGGCAGGCGGCTGTCCCGCGGCGGCGGCCACCGGGCCAGGGCAGCAGGCAAGAGGCGGGGGCGCAGACAAGGTGCAGGCCGGGTGCGAGTGCGGGACGCAGGGCGGAACGCCGCACCCGACTCCCACACCAGGTCCACTCCCTGAGGGTACTCCCGCTTCAGCACCTCCTTCAGCCCTCCACCCAGCCGGTAGTTGACCACCCGGTGGCAGCCCAGAGAGCTGCGGCAGGGAGGCAGCACAGGGGTGGGCCGAGGGTGCGGGCGGCGCGCCTTCTGTCCGCTGCTTGCAGCCAGGCTGTGCAGGGGGCTGCTGGCCGGCCCTGGCCGATCGACAGCCGCTCACCGCAGGAGCACCTCCTTGTCGCCGCCGCTGCAGGTGCCGATGACGTGGCAGCCGGCCATCACCGCCAGCTGCACGGCGATCTGTCCGGTGCCCCCCGCGGCCGCCGTCACAAGCACCGTTTGCGCCTTGCGCTGCAGGGAGGCCACGCATGGGGGCGCACAGCTGGTGGGCGGACGTGCATTGACTGAGGAGCATGCTGCGGACGACGGAAACACACAGGCTGAGATATGGCCGGCCGCATGGCTGTCGAACCGCTCTCACCAGCCCCCCCGCCTGCTCCAGGGCTATGCTGGCTGTGAGGCCGCTGGTCATGAGGGCAGCCATCTCGGGGGAGGCCTCCGGCACCGGGAACACGTGGCGGGCGCCCACCACCGCCCACTCTGCATGGCAGGGGTAGGCGCGCAGGCGGCGGGCGGCATGGTGCGTGTACATCTGATGTTCATCCTGATCACATCCGTAGTGATGCCCGGCCGCAGCACACACTTGCTCCACCAACACCATCACGCTGGTGGCTCACCAGCAAAGCCGCCATAGGTCATTGTGCACACCGGCTGGCCCACGGCAATGCCCTGCACGTCGGGCGCCGCCGCCGCCACCACGCCCACCGCCTCAAACCCAGCCTCAAACGGCAGCTTCTTCTCCGCCGCCGCTGTGCTCCCAAAGTACCTGCAGATAGCGCATGAAGGAGCAAGCGTGTGGAAGACGGCGCCAGCGCCCTGTCCAGAGATGCTGCTGGCCGATGCCGCGGCCGTGCGACCCGCCGGCCCTGCACAGCCCCGGCGCCGCCCCACCTGCCGGCAGAGAAGTTGACGTCGCTGGCGTTGATGCCGGCATACAGCCTCCTGACCAGCACCGCCCCAGGCGGCAGCTGCGCCGGCAGCGGGCGGCGCACGATGCGGGTTGCGGCACGGAAGTCTGAGGAGAGGCGGTACACCTCCACCACGCGCGTGGCGGCGGTCGGCAGGCCGGGGGCGGCGCCGCCGGCGGTGGCCCAGGCGCGGAGCGCGGGGTCCACACGCGCCGCCGCTGCGCTGGAGGGCATCTCCACTGCAGCAGCATGCGGTGCAGGGGAGGGGGGCTGACGAGGCTCGGCGCCTTGACCAGCAGCAGTGTCGAGGATGCAGCATAGCAGCACCAGCAACAGCCGGCAGCAGCACCAACAACCACCACAGCGCGCACAGCGGGCTCGCCTGACTTGAAGCGCGTGCGCTGCGGCTCCACCCAGTTGCCATCCACCAGCACCACCAGGCACGTGCCGACCTTGGAGCCGTCTGCCAGCAGCGCCAGGCCGGCCTGGGTCACCTTGTCCACGCTCAGCAGCCGGCCCTGGGTGTCCCGCATCACCTCCGCAGCCAGCGCCGCATCCTGCTGCATGCCCCGCACCAGCGCCGTGTCTGTGAACTGCAGAGGGGGCGGCATGGGCTGTCAGGAGTGCCCGGCACAGGCAACGTATATGCACCCTCACGCGGCACAGGCAGCGCTCCAGCGGCCCGCGGTTGCCGGCCGGCCGGCCAGCCGGCACACGCCAGGCTGCTGCGGCCACGCCGTGTGCCGGCCCGCGTCCGCAAGCCTGCCTGGGGGCACAGCGCGCAGATGCGGACGCCCTTCTTGATCAGGCGCGGCGCCAGCGAGCGTGTCAGCTGCACGCAGCCCGCCTTGGCCGCAGCGTACACCGGGCTGCAGGCTCGGCAGGCAGGCGGCAGGCATGGCGGTGTCAGGGGGTGCAGCATGTGGAGGGGCACGGCTCGGCGCCAGCAGCACCGCCATTTCCGCACAGGCGTGCGGCATGGCGCCGCACCTGAGAGGCATGGGGTACACTCCGCCTGCTGAGGCAGTGATCATGATGACGCCTCCTTTGCTGCTGCCGCCGCTGCCGCCGCCGTTGCCATCTGGGTCGCCCGTCAGCATGGCCCGCGCCGCCAGCCCCACCCCCTGGATGACCCCCCTCAGGTCCACATCCAGCGTGGCCTGCCAGGCGCCGTCCTTGCCAAACACCATGTCTCCCTGCTCCCCTATGCCCGCGTTGAGCAGGGCATAGTCCAGGCGGTTGAAGCGGCGGCAATGCTGCTGGAAGGCGTCGCGCTGCTCCCGCACATCCGCCACGTCGCAGCGCACCGCCAGCGCCGCGCCGCCCTGCCGCGTGATCTCCTGGGCCACCGCCTCCGCCCCTGCCGCGTCGATGTCTGCCACCTGCACGTGCATGCGCGCCAAATGCCGGCGACTTAATCGCATGGCAGGCTGGGTGGCAGCAGGAAGTCTGGCGGTGTGTCACGCGGCCGCCGGGCGGGCGCGGCTCACCGTCACCGCCACCCCGCGCTGAGCCAGTGCGAGTGCCAGGTCTCGCCCGATCCCCGAGGCTGCACCCGTAACCAATGCGGCATTCCCCTTCATTTTCTGGGAGGGAGGAGAGAGGAGGCCGTGGAGAGCGAAGGAAGCGGGAGAAGCAGGCGCACTGAAGAGGCTGCCGATGCGAATAATAGAGTCAGCAAGCGCAATTGAGATCAATTTAGAGAGCGGTGAGCAGTGTTTCTGGCCCTCGTGGCAGCGTTGGCGATGGGCTGGCGATGAGGACCGCTGTCGCATCCAAATTTCGCCAATCAACTGGCGATGGCACAGTGGGGGTTGGCGAAATGCGGGGGAACCACCCTTGCGCCTGGCGCGGCGCAGCGGACGCATGCGGTGCCGCCGTTGCTTTGTCGGCACTTGCCTCCCTTTATGGGGGACTGGGGGCGAAGCCCCCAGAAAGCTGGCGCTTTTTTAACACTATGGAATGAAGTTCCTGAGGAAATTTGGCCATTTTCCCTCAATATATTGGCGATGCCAGTCATGGGGGATGGCGACGGGCTGGCGACCATGCCCTGCCGCCTGCCCTCATTTCGCCAGCTCTCGATGGCTTCGGCCAATCGCCAGGCAGAGCGTTTTTGCCCGATTTCGCCAGCATTTGGCGATTTCGCCAGTCAGAAACACTGGCGGTGAGTGTGTTTCGGATGACGTGGCAGCTCACCAAAATTGCACGAAGAACTACAGGTTGTTTGGATCCCTCGTGGCCCGGCTTTCAGACGCAGGGCCACGGCCAGTAGGAGCCGACATTCGGGAGCAAGCAGTGACCCCAGACTATGCAGCAGACCTCCCGTTGCCTGTGGGTGGGCAGCCTGCGGCAGGACATTGATGAAGGGGTGTTTTTAGCGACGCTGAACAGGTACAAACCCACACCAGCGTGAACACGGCATGTGCTCCCTGTCTCCCCTGTTGTAAACGCATTGGCCAGCACACCCAGTCGATGCACCCAGTTGATGCACAGAGCCTGCGCGCGCCGCTGCTCCTGTGCTGCGCCACACGCCCGCCGCCGTGCCGCTGCGATCCGCGGCACCTACCAAGCTGCCTCTTTCTTTCTTTTTCCTACTCCTCGCACAGGTTTGGCGAGGTGCTGAACATTCAGCTGCGGCAAGCGCCCACCGGCCCCGACCGCTGGGCCCTAGTCACCTTTGCCCAGCCGCACTCGGCGCTGGCAGCCATGCACAGCCTCAACCACCTGCACCTGCCCAACCTGACGCATACCGAGCTGAAGATCCGGTTGTGGGATGAGCGCCCGCAGCAGCAACCGCCGCCGCCGCCGCCGCAGCAGCAGCAGCAGCCCTGGCGCCAAGACTCGGGGCAGCAGCACGCCGCCTGGGCGGACGCGGAAGACGAGGGGCAAGCGCCGGCGTCGGCTCCGGCACCGACCGCCATGCGACGAACGGTTGGCGGGGGCTGGGTGGCTGAGGAGGAGGCGAGGGATGAGGAGGACCCGCTTGTGGAGCTGTGGGTGGGCAACCTGCACAGCAGCGCCACGCGCCTGAGCGTGCGCAGAGCCTTCGAGTGGTGAGCCGCCGCTGTTGTCCAAGCGCAGCGGCTGTACGTGTGTGCGGCCTCATGCATGCATGCTCGAGAATTGTTTATACCTATGGTGCATTGGTTTCCCTTCTTGCTTGGCACCCCGCAGCTTTGGCGAGGTGTCGAGCGTGCACCTGCAGCCCGCGCCGGGAGGCAGGGGCGTGCAGTTTGCGTTTGTGGAGCTGCCGGCCAGCGGCGCCGAGGTGGCGCTGGAGGAGCTGGATGGGCGCATGATTTACGAGCTGACGGGGCACGACATGCTGCTGATGGTGAAGCAGTCCAAGCGCAGCCTGAAGCCCCTGCTCAAGTGGCAGCAGCGCAAGGAGCAGCGGCGGCAGCGGGACGGCGGATGCGCCTCAGCCGCCCACGCCTCGGCAGCAGCTCTGCAGGTGCAGTGCGAGGACGGCAGCACCGCGGCGCTGCGAGGGGGGGTGCGGGAAGTGAAGAAGTGTTTTGTGTGCGACGGACCCCCCAGCCGCCTGCTGTGGCTGGGCAACATGGCCAGCACCGCGACGGCAGGCAGCCTGCAGGCCCTTCTTGGCAGGCAAGTGGTGGGCGGCTGAGTGTGCCGCCACCCCACCTGCCCTGCTGCAGCCTTCAGGTCCCAGCAGCCGCCGACTAGCTGCAGGCCGTGCTCGCCCAACGGTGCGCCACCCACAACCAGTGCCCTGCCCTGCCCCGCTGCAGTTATGGCACCGTGATGCGTGCGCGCCTGTTCACTGCACCCGGCTACCAGAACCCGTACTACTTTGCTGTCGTGGAGCTGGGGTCGGCAGCAGAGGCGCAGGCTGTGCACGATGCGCTGCAGGCAAGGCGGTGGGCGGCTGGGCCGTGCTGTCCGGCTGCCTGTCGGCTGCCTGCCGCTGATGCAGCCTCCTGGGCTGAGCCTGTCGTTTCACCGCAGGGCGCCACCCATGTGCCCGAGCTCTGTGACTCCAAGCCGCTCAAGATCCGCTATGCGTGGCCCAGGCACCTGGTCCGGCCCGCCCCAGCCGGCGACGGTGCACCAGCCGAGGAAGAAGAGGAGCCGCCCGGGTTTGCTGCGCCGCTGGCCAATGGTGGGAGCCACGCCGCGGCTGCGCAGGGCCATGCCTCAGCCGGGGAGGAGTCGCAGGAGGGGCCCCCAGGCAACAGCAGCAGCAGCAGCAGCGCGGGCCGCCAGGCCGCCGCGCCTGCCGGCCCCGAGGAGCCGCTGTGCGCGGGGTGCGGCGCCAGCGCCTTTGTGGCCGTGCTCAAGCGCTGCAGCGGCTGCCGCTCAGTGCACTACTGCGGGCCGGCCTGCCAGCTGAAGCACTGGGAGGTGCAGCACCAGCACGACTGCTGCCGCCTGGCGCAGCTGGAGCGCCTGCTCACCCGGCAGCAGCCCGCGGGCCAATCGGTGCCCGCCAGCGTCGCGACCCTGCTGCTGGCCGCGCTGCGCCAGCCGGGCGGGCGACAGGCACGCCTGGTGCAGGCAGCGCTGCAGCAGCAGGCGGACTCCTCGAGCAACAGCCAGGCGGCGTCAGCGGCTCTCTAGGCATGCATCCCCGACTGCTGTGTGCCCCACAACTTGCTGTGCCAAGGCAGCCAGGATCTGCAAGTGCAACGTGATGCATACGTGACCGCATGCCTTCTTCCTGATGCTTCCCTCATGTTTAATGCCCAGTGAGCCCTTGCTGGCCGCTTCCCCAGGCGCTTGTATGCCGTTGCCAAGCTCTCAGGCCAGGCTGGACGGTAAAGGTTACTGCTGCTGAGTAGGACAGCAAGCGATTGGCAAGGAGGAGAGTACATGAAATCGCAACACATACCCGCGGGTGATGTCTGTTGCTGCTGCTGCTGCTGTAAGTGGTGCCAGGTGGCGCCGGCGCCGCCTCATGCCGTCGCCTTGGCTTTGATCATCCCCGATTGCCTGCAGGCAGGGAGGCAGGGGCAGGCAGGGGGTCTGCATGCCATCATGGGGCAGCAGCGCGGGGCAAGCAGCTGCCAGTCTCTCCTGCCTTCTCTCACATCACATGCCGCCACCCACCTCGCATACTCAAAGATGCCGCCAGCATCAATCACTGGCCCCGCCTGCAGGGCAGCCGCACCACCAAGGCAGCGGTCGCGCGCTGACCAACCCCTGCCCGCCCTCCTGCACTAATCAACTTGCGCCAGTCCATGCACAGCTGCCCCACACACCACCGCCGCCGCCACCGCCAGGCTCACGTCTCCCAGCGGCTTGAGCGAGTACTTCTTGCCGGTGGCCAGGTCTGTGAGCACATCCGCCACCATGTCCACCTCCACCTCCCGACCCGTCTCCAGCTCATCGCAGAGCCGCGCATCAGTCTCAACAGGGTACAGCTCGCCGCTGCGGGGGGGAGGCGTGCGTGGGGGGTGGGGGCGAGCGGCAGGAGGCTGAGCACTCTGCCCAGCCACCTGCACACCTGCTGTCCCAGCCCTCGGCTCCACATGGCATCCCGGCACCCAGCAGAAGCTGTGCAGACACAGGCAGCCGCGCAGCCGCGCAGCCCAGCGCATGCAGGCGGCGGCGGCTCACGTGGAGACGCAGTTGCGGAAGAAGATGCGGGCGTACGACTCCGCCACCACCACGGTGGCGCCGCTGGCGCCCAGTGCCACCGGCGCGTGCTCCCTCGACGACCCGCACCCAAAATTCTGGCCCCCGATGATGACAGGGTACTCGGTCTTCATGCTGTCCACCTGCGGGTGTGGTGTGCCACTGCCCGTGTGTGTGTGTGCGGTGGCGCAAGCAGCCCAGCGCCCGGCAGAGTGTCAGTCGCACAAACGCAGGCAGGCACGCATGCGCCCCGCAGGCTGCCGCCAGCGCCGCACCTCGACGTAGCGTGTGGGGTACTCCTCGTCTGGCAGGCCGCACAGCGCGTAGCTGCCCAGCTTCTCGTACTCGTCAGGCTGCAGGCGCGGGGAGGCAGGCAGGGACGGGTTGCGGTGCAGTGCTTGCTGGTCAAGGTGCCTGGTGTGGCAGGCTGGGGGCCCCCAGTGATGCTGCTCAGCACGGCGCCTGCCGGCCCGCCGCGGCCACACCTTGGACGGCACAAGCGTCAGGTACTCTGCAGGGATGATCTGATCGGTGTCGATGTTCTGCGGGCGCAGGGCAAGCGCCGCACGCACAGAATCAGCTCACACAAAGCCGCCGCTGTGCTGCCGAGTCCCGCCCCGAGTCCCGCCGAGTCCCGCCCGCCACCGGCTGCCCGCGCAGCACCTTCTGCACTGCTGTGCCCACCCCAGCACCCCAGGAGGGATGTGGCGGGCATGGGCGGCTCCACCCAGCCCCAGCACTCACGTCCTTGGTCACAAAGCACTTGCCGCGGATGACGCGCGGCGCGCCCTGCAGGTCCACCTTGGCCTGCACCACCAGCCGCGCTCCCCTGCTGGCCCGTTTGGCGGCGGAGCGGAAGGACACCCGCGCAGCGCCGCCATTGCGGCTGCACACGCAGCTGCCCGCCTGCATATCTGTGCCTGACTGCTGCTGGTCACCGGTGGGCGGGGAAACCTGGCGTAGCGAAGCTGGATATTAGATCCACCAGGTACAATCGTTTGCGCACCGCACGAGGGTCTCATGAGGGCCGTGCACGAGATGGAGGCCCGCGCATGCCACGTTGCTGACCCAGGGGCCCTCTAAAGCTCGCCTCCCCGCCCCCCCAGGCCTCTCTCCAAGCTTGGTGGCCGGCCCAGGGTGAGTTTAAGCGCGGCTGCACAGCGCTGCGCCTGCATGGCGTCGTCCCTTCAGCCTGCATGGCTGGCCCATCGAGCCGCTTGGGGCTCCAGACAGCGTAATCGGGCTGGATTGATGCGGGGAGGCTTTAGCAGCAGCGTGCAGCGGCACAGGGGGCCGGCACTTCGGGCGCCCGCCATGCCAGACCCTTGCAGCCGCTGATTGGCGCTCTCGGCCAGCACACGGCCGGGCCAGCACAACTGCAGACGGTCGCAGCCAAGCGGCTCAGCGCGCAGCTCAGCTCATCGGCCGCCCCTTCTGCCGCCCGGCCGCTCCAGGCAGTGCACTCGTGCGCTCCTGCCAGGCTCCAGCAGCCACTGATCGGTGCTGTTGCTGCTGCCGGTTGCAGGAACGAGCAGAAATGCCGGGCGGCCAGGGTTATCGCGCGCGGACGCGCGATTCTTTCTCTCGCGGCTTCAGGTGCGAGGACGACTCCGTGTGCCGCCTCTGCTGTGCTGGCTTGTGGGGCAGCTTTTGCAGCAGGAGGTAGCAGCGCGATGTCAGCAACTTCTGCGGCTCCCCCCGCCCCCCGCTGTTGCTGTGGCGCAGGCAGAAGGGCTTCATCCCCCTCAGCACCTACCTCACAAATTACAAGCTGGGTGACTATGTGGACATCAAGGTCAACAGCGCAGTGCACAAGGTACGCAGGAGCTGAGGCTGGCACGCAGGAGGCGGGCACCACCCGGCGCAGGAGGCGGCTGGCGGCTTGCAGCGTGGGCTCGTGGTGGCCGCTCAGCAGGCAGCACGGCGTGTGGATTGGAGGAGCCGAACCGGTGGAGTACGGCGCGACATGGGAGGGTGGCGCCGCGAGCGCAGCACACTAGCTGCTGCCTTGCCGCCGCCGCTGCCTGGCTGAGCCGGCGGCGCATGTGCGTGGTGTTGTGTGCAGGGCATGCCCCACAAGTTCTACCACGGCAAGACCGGCCGCGTGTGGAACGTGACCAAGCGCGCCATTGGCGTCGAGCTGCTGAAGCAGGTGCGAGCGGCGCTGGCGCCGGGGTGCTGGGGTTGGTGAGGAGCGGGCTGCATGTGTGGGCAAGGACCGGGGTGCATGTGCGAAGAGGGTGCATGTGCGCTAGCTGGCGGCGTCCTGGCGGCAGCGACAGCGACAGCAGCTCCGCTGGTGGCATGGGAGAAGGAGGGCGCCAGCGCAGCTGGCTTGCATGGCGGCACACCCAAATGGAGCGCGGGGCGGCAGCAGCAAGGGGGCGGAGCAGCCAGCAGCGGGCTGGGCTGGACGGAGCAATGCAGCCTGGGCTCAGCTGAATCACGCAAAGGGGAGATGCTTGCCACCTCGGCGCATTGCCCCCACACTGGAGCACAGCAGTGCACCATGGCAGCCGCGCAGCAGGGGCCACAAACCGCCTCAGCCAACCACACAAGCACCCCAGCTGTGCACCTGGTCTGCTTCCGCTTTTGCTGCTGCTGCCTCACCCCGCCCGGGCCGCTTCCTTCCCCTATGTGGTTCCCCGCAGGTGAACGGGCGGTACATCAAGAAGCGCATCCATGTGCGCATCGAGCACGTGACCCCCAGCCGCTGCCACGAGGAGTTCCTGCGCCGCTGCAAGGAGAACGACGAGGCGCGGCACGCGGCCAAGGTGGCGGGCACCCCCGCGCCGCCCATGAAGCGCCAGCCCAAGGGCCCCCGCACCCAGGGCTTCACGCTGGAGAACGTGCGCATGGAGACCATCACCGCCATCCCGTACGACATCCTCAAGGTGCGGCTGGGCGGCTGGGCGGCGCGGGGGAAAGCGGGGGGCCCGCCCCCCGAGCGGGTTGTTTTGGGGGCTTTTTTCGTACCCTTGTTTTCCCTGTGTTTTTCTTGCTTTCTGCTGTCTACTCACTTAAGCAGTCTCTCTTAATTTGACAATGTTACCACTGCCTGTTGCAGGAGGGCGTGCTGTGAGCGGGACCACCCCCATGGCGGCGCGGCGGCGGCAGTCGGGATGTTCAGCATCCCCTTTGCTTTGCCCTGTTTAGCGCTCACGGTTGCCTGTTTAGGATGCCAGGTGTAACGTGAACGCTCATAAAAGTTTAGAAGCTCGGTTCATTTGGCATTTCTGACTTGCACCCCACATGGGCGGGCGGGAGGGTGCATGGGTATGTTGGAGCCGATGGCCGGCCTAGGATGACCTATTGACACATGAATTGAATGATTCTATTGAGCAATGCATGAAAGAGAGGGGTGAGGTGAGGCGCCCGCCTCCCCCAGGCTACAGTGTCTAAAGGTGAAGGGGCTGCGACAGCGACGCATGCTCAGCCGTGAGTGACGGCAGGAGGACTGCCCATCTCGGCTTGAACCTCGGACGCGGCCTCCTAGAGGGCGCAAGACAGGGCGCAGATTGCTGGTCTGACTGCGGCCAGTGCAGCTTGGGCCCCGCAGCGCCGCTCGTGCAGCGCCCCGGCACCCTGCTGCCCGCCATGTCGACCGCACCGCCTGGTTGCCCCACCGGCGACACCATCGACACCACCACGTGACCAAGGGTTATGTGCAGGGGGAAGGTGGCAAAGGCGGGGCATGCCGCGGTGTGTGCAGCTGGACTGGGGCGGTGGTTGGGGGGCCGCGCCGTAAGCGCTGGCAACTGTTTTGCACTTGGGAGCGTTGAGATGGTGAGGTGGCCTGCCCGTCGGCGCGGAGTGCAGTGGCTTACAGGCTGCAAGGCGTGGCTAGCATGGGAAGAGCAGAGCAAAAGGGGGGAGGAAAAAAGTCATGCAGGTTGATTTGGAGAGGGATAGGGCTGGTGTGCTGCCGGGAGAGGAAGAGAAGGGGAAAGAGAAGCATGCGTGGGAGAAGCTGACAGAGCCAACAAGTTACTGGGGCAACCGGGGTGGCCATCCCGCCAGCGCTCCTGGGCCGCCTAGCGCCGCTCACTTGGTGGTGGGAGGCTCCTTGATGAACCTGCGGTTGGCAGGAGCACACAGCGACGGTCAGGGGCGGGCCGGCCGAGCGCAGTGCTCCCCGCTAGCCAGCCAGGCATTGCCGGCGGCCACCACACGGTGCAGCGCAGTGCCTCCAGCGGGGCGCCCCCGCCCTGCCTCCCACTCACGGGTGCCTGAGCGCGTCCTTGGGGCTGATGCGCTTGTCGGGGTCCAGCTGCATCATGCGCTCCAGCAGGTCCACCAGCTGCGCCAGCTTGCGGCGGTCGGGCGACTGCCCCGCCAGCAGCGCCGCAAAGTCCTTGCGCACGGTGGGGTTGGAGATGAGGCGGCGTACCTGAGGGGGGGAGAGGAGGGGGCAGAGTGGCAGGGTGGCGGGGCTGGCAGGGCATCCTCAAGACCGCAGCACTGGCACAGCCAGCACTGGCACAGCCAGCACAAGTGCCGGTCAATGCACGCACACACACATCCGCTTCCGCCGCCGCCGCCACCGCCGCCTCCGCCGCCCCCTCTCACCGGCCTCTTTGTGACCGGGTCCTCCTCCAGCAGCGCAAAGCTCATGTTGGGGTCCGACTCAAAGTGCTGAAGGCAAACTCGGCGCGC